CTGGGCACATTGGCTCCCGCCTGTTAATTCCAGCACTTTGGGAGTCCAGGTGGGAGGATCACTTGTGGTCGAGACCAGCCTGGCCAACATGGTGAAACCCCATCTTTACTAAAATACAAAAATTAGCTGGGCGAGGTGGTATGTGCCTGTAATCCCAGCTACTCAGAAGGCTGAGACAGGAAAATCGCTTGGAGTGACGGCTTTATCCAACTTGTTGCAGATAGAGAATACTGGGGACCCATCACCTTCCTCCCAGCTTACTCAGAGAGTGACAGCTCTAGAAGAGACAAATCAAGAAGACCAGAGTTTACTGTGTCTGCCCAGTGCCCTATTCTTAAAGAGAGAAGAAATAATCCATTGTATCCACCTCCAGCTCCAGAGAAATGGTTCTGAGATTTTTTCCAGCGGGAGAGGCAGGCCCTAATAATTGAGAGCTTCAGCAGATCACCTCCCTAAAGGAAATGACATTATGCAGAATAGTGTGGAGAAGTTCAAACATAAGGGCACTCTTGAAAACAATGGCACTTTTAGTTGTAAGTACTCAAAAGGTGGTTGGTGGAATGATGTCAGCAAAATGGTTGAGTAGGCAGCTCCAAGTTCTTATGCCGCCACAAAAACATTGAAAAACAAGCAGTAACCATGAGAACCAACACTGTCAGGACTCTGGAAAACAGCTCAAGGTTTACAGCAACCAAGAAAATGGTAAACCAAATAAAGGGGCAACTTGGAAATAGTAGGAAAGCCCTGTGGATTTTATACTCACTCTACTCCAACCTTCCCCCCTTGGCAAGGTAGCACTTTTGTAGAGGGAAACTCACATTCCCAGACCGGGACACTGGTCCTTGATTTTGGAAGGAGCAGAGCAGACCTTATTTATAAATTATTGTGTATGTCTCTTCTAACCTGTCTGAGCTACCTGAAGGACTGACGGCACATCTGTTTCACCAAACTCAGAACTCAGGACACAAATGCAGAGGCACTGCTTAAAGAAAACACTGTAAGCCAAACTAACAACACTCAGAAGCCCATGGAAATATTATGGTCTGCACATGTAATAGACTGACCCAGGAGCAAAAGCTGAGGAATTTCTTGGGAAAGGTCATTCAAATGCACTCATTATATTACAGGGATCCCTAGGCTAACTGTTGAAGGACAGCCTCGGCACAGTCAATCTATCAAGACTGAGGGAACTGCTTGTTTGTTTTTCAGCAAATGACATTCAAGGAAATTTTTGACAAAACACTAGCTGAACACAAGTTAAAGCAAAGAGACTTCTGTGACCATACACAACAAGGAATACAGTCTTTACAGAAACAGTTTGGGAATTATTTCAACTGTAACTGCAAATCAGGTAATTCTGATTTCTAGAATTACCATATTATAATATTCAAATTTCTAGTTGTCTACAAAAACACATATACACTTCCTGACATACAAAAAACCAGAATAAATTAACAGAAACTATCCCTGAGGAAGTCCAGGCATCAGACTCTCTAGACAAAGACTTTATAACTGTCTTATCAACAAACTGTGTTGGGAAAACTGGATATCCACATGCAAAACAATGAGGTCAGACCTTTGCCTTACACCATATACAAAACTTAACTAAAGACCCAAATTTTAAGACCTAAAACTATAAAACTCCTAGAAGAAAACACAGGGGGAAAGCTTCATGACACTGGATTGGCAATGATTTCTTTGATGTAACAGCAAAAGCAAAGGCAACAAAAGCAAAAATAGACAAACGAGACTACATCAAACTTACAAACACACATGCATCAAAGGACACAATCAGCAGAGTGAAAAGACAACCCACGGAATGAAAGACAATTATTTGCAAATCGTATCAGATAAGGGACAGATATCTAGAATGCACAAAGAATGCCCACAACTCAAAAAAACAACCTGATTAAACAACAGGCAAAGTTGTGGTGTTTTCTAGGTTTGGGAGAAAAAAATAGAAACAAACAAAAAAATGAATGAGCAAAGAATCTGAATAGATATTTCATATTTCTCCAAAGATGATATACAAATGGTCAATAAACACATGCAAAGATGCTTGCCACCTTTAGTCACTGGGGACATGCAAATAAAACGTACAATGGAATACCACCTCACACCCATTAGGATGGCTACTATCAAAACCCAGAAAACAGCAGGTGTTGGTGAGGGTGCAGAGAAATTGGACATCTGTGCACTGTTAGTGGGAATAATGTAAAATGGTATAGTTGCTGTGGAAAACCATACAGTGGTTTCCAAAAACAATTACACACAGAATTACCATATAATCTAGAAATTCCACTTCCAGGTATATACCCAAAAGAATAAAAAACAGGCCCCTTTACAGACATTTGTACACCATGTTCACACCAGCAGTATTTCTAATAGCCAAGAGGTGGAAGCAACCCAAGTGTCCACTGGCAGATGAATAGATTTCTTTTAATGTAGCATATACATGCACTGGAATATTCTTTAGCCTGAAAAAAGAAGGGAATCCTGTCACGTGCGATAGGGATGAACCCTGAAAACATTATGCTAGGTAAAACAGGCCAGACACAAAAGGACAAACACCTACGAAAATTCCACTTATATGAGGTACCCAGAGCAGTCCAGTTCACAGAAATGGAAAGGAGAATGGTGGTTGCCAGGAGATGGGGGAGAAACGGGGAGTTTAATGGGCATGGAAATTCAGTTTGGGAGCACTGAAATGTTCTGGAGATGGATGGTGGTGATGGATACACAACAGTGTAAACACAGGTAATGCCGCTGAACCATACAATTACAGTTAACATTTTTCTTCCTTCTCGCCAAAAAAAAAACATTTTAAAATGGTTAAAATGGTAGTCTTGTTATATTTTACCACAATTTTGTAAAATACAGAGTAAGATACCAGTCCACATGTATGAGGGTAGCACAGAAAATAACAAGAGTTGGTGAGGAAGTGAAGAAATTGGAAACTTCACACTCTCCTAATTGAAATGTAAAATGGTACAGCCACTGCAGAAAACAAATTTGGCAGTTCCTCAAAAAGCTAAACATACAATTACCATATGATCCAGCAATTCCGCTCTGAGATATATAGGCAAAAGAACTAAAAACAGGTATTCAAACAAATATTTGTACATAAATGTTGCATTAGCAGTAGTCAAACAACGAAAAGGTGAAAAAAAAAAAACCACTGTCCACCCAATGGATAAACAAAATGTAACAAATATATCCATAAAACAAATCGTTATTCAGTCCGAAAAAATAAAGTCCTGATCCATGCCACACTGTGCATGAACCTCAGAAACATGCTAAGTGAAATAAGCTAGACATACAAGATCCCATATTGTATGAGTCCACTTACATGAAATATCTAGAATTGCCAAATTCTTAGAGATAGAAGTGGAATAGAAGGTGCTCGGGGCTAGGCGGAGAGGTGGAATGGGGAGTCAGTGCTTCGTGGTTACAGTTTATCCGGGGTAATGAAAAAGTATTGGAAACAGTGGTGATGGTTACATTGTGAATGTATTTAATGCTATTGAATTGTACTTAAAAATGGTTAAAATGTCAAAGTTTGTTATATATACTATGGACAATATTTTAAAAATTAATAATGCAATATACCAAAAACCATTAAGTTGCACACTTTTTAAAATTTTATTGAATTTATGTTACCCAGACTGGTCTCAACTCCTGGATGCAAGCGACCCTCCCACCTCCCAAAGCTCTGGGATTACAGCTGTAAACCACTGCACCCGGCCAAATCGCACACTTTTAGTAGGTGAACTGTATGGTATGTATCTCAATAAAGCTGTTTTTTTGTTTTTTTGGTTTTTTTTTTTTGAGACGGAGTTTCGCTCTTGTTACCCAGGCTGGAGTGCAATGGCGCGATCTCGGCTCACCGCAACCTCCGCCTCCTGGGTTCAGGCAATTCTCCTGCCTCAGCCTCCTGAGTAGCTGGGATTACAGGCACGTGCCACCATGCCCAGCTAATTTTTTGTATTTTTAGTAGAGACGGGGTTTCACCATGTTGACCAGGATGGTCTCGATTTCTCGACCTCGTGATCCACCCGCCTCAGCCTCCCAAAGTGCTGGGATTACAGGCTTGAGCCACCGCACCCGGCTTGTTGTTTTTTTTTTTTAACTATTATTTTAAAATGGTTAAAATGGGAATTTCTGCGATTTTTTTCTTACCACAATAAATGTTTAAAAGGCATGTACACATATAACTGTGACAAAAAATAAAATAAAATAAAAAAGGCTTGTACACGAGAGAGCACAGACACCATATTCTAAGCCCAGGCAGGAACCACTGCACGGCTTATTACTCACATTGGTGGAGGCAAGCTGCTAAGAGTCAAGGGTTCCAGTTTGAGGCTCCCGAGGCCACTGGGTGTAGTGACAAAAGGTGATTTTAGGCTAGTTGCATGATTAGGAAAATAAAGAATTAAATGAATGGAGATGTATACGTAAGTAAATCAGAGGCCGGATGCAGTGGCTCATTCCTGTTTTAATTCTAGCACTTTGGGAGGTCAATGCGGACGGATCACTTTCAGGTCAGGAGTTCGAGACCAGCTTGCCTAACAGGTGAAACTGTCTCTACTAAAATACAAAAATTACCGGGGCACGATGGTGCGCGCCTGTAATCCCATCAACTCTGCAGACAGAGGTTGGTTACAGGGAGCCGAGATCACTTCACTGCACTCCAACGTGGGCGACAGAGCGAGACTCTCACTCAAAAAAAAGGATCTAAACGGGCAATTCTTTAATTTTTAATACAACAAACACCAATCGAACACAACGTAGGTGTTTTGACAATGGACAAAATCTTGCCCTTGATTTTAATCCATCGATATTTGGGGGCCCTTAAACCCTCAAACCTCTGAGAACTATTTAGACAAATACTAGTCGGGTTTTTTTGTGTGTGTGGTTTTCCTATTTAAATGGAGAAGTGACGATTCACCTTTTTAAAGATTTGCGGTTTTTCGCCAATGGACCCGCCGGGGTTTACTCACCGACTTCCTCTGATTCTTGTCCAGCGGCTCGAAGCTTGCACTCCCTTGGATAGTGTTTTTGAATTATCGTCCACAGTTCCATGTTGACAAGGGAATTTCTTCGGGTGTGGTACCGAGTCCACGAAGATACGCGGCGACGACAGAAGGGACAGCATAGACTTGCCTTTTCGACAGTCGACTGGAAGCACGGTTTGCAGAGCGTGTGGTTACACGGGAGCGTGACGGGCTCCAAGAGGATTTCCATGCAGATCCCGCATTGGCACTCAGACAGCGAAGGGACGGCCGCTTTGGGTACAGCCATTTTCATATGTTAATAAAGTCTATGAAACGACACCTGCAAGAAAAAGAATCCTATTTTCGGCCAACCACAGACAGCAAATGCACAGTTTTGTGTTCCAATATTATGCCCAACAGCGTATCAGAATGCGGGGAACAGGAACATCAAACACGTCTTGAAGCAAAAAGGCGCTCGGTGGGTCCGGCAAACAGGAATACTCCGGAGGGCTGCGTCTTTGTCCATTTTTAAGGCAAACGTCCGGCGAGCAAATAAACGCAGGTTTTCGTCAGACGAGCCTGGCTGCTCCGAGGCCTGAACACCGCTGGCTGCAGCTCCGGGTGCAGCGAGTGGAACGCGCCAAGTCCCCTCCTCCCCTCACCCGGTGAGGATGCTCCGCTCCGCTCGCGGCAGCCCGGCCCCGGGACGCGGTTCCAGGAGGAACCCCGGGCTCCGGCTGCAGCAGGACTTACACTTTACTGCAGCTGCGGGGTCGACGAGTGACTCCAGCGTTCAGTGTTCTGGCGCCTTGCGCACTTTCCCAGAGCTCCGCGCCTCTGTCCCTCTTACTCAGCCGAAGACCCTCTGCGTTGCAGCAGAGCAGCAGCCACCGGACGTGGGCTGGTGACGTCACAACCGCCCGCCAAAATAACAATTCGCACTCAGAGAAAGGCCCGGGGCAGACGCTCCCTGGGCGGGACTTCCGGGGTCTGCGCACCGCCCGCCCTGTCAGTCCTCCCAGCCCGGAGACGCTCCCGCCCTAGCGTTGCAGCTCCTCCTAGTGCAGCGGGGGTGGGGCCCGACCTTTCCCTGAGATTTCTGCTCCCAGAGGCTTCAGACACCCCTGGTTTCTTGGTTTCTGGGTAGAAAACGGGAAACCTCAAACCGAATTCAACAACCAAACAAGGTGCATTACCTGAGGTCAGGAGTTCGAGACCAGCCTGACCAACATGAAGAAACCCAGTCTCTACTAAAAATACAAAAATTAGCCGAGCGTGGTGGTGTGCACCTGTAGTTCCAGCTACTTGGGAGGCTGAGGCACAAGAATCGCTTGACCCCCTGGAGGCGAAGGTTCCAGCCAGCCGAGATCACGCCACTGTACGCCAGCCTGAGCGACAAGACCGAGACTCCGTCTTAAAAAAAAAAAAAAAAAATAGCCAGTTTTTCTAATTCTTCCCTCAGTACCCTTGTGAGTACCTTTTTGTTTCTATTGATTTGTAGCGAAGCCCCTGAAGTCTCTTTCCAAAATTCTTTTTTTGTTTCTTCTTTCTTTTTAAAGAAGAATCTTTCCAAAATTCTTAAAGCAGCATTTCCAAGAAATATTGTCAGAGAATTCACAAACCTGGGACAATTTAAGAGACACTTATACTTCCTTCTGTATGGCCCAGCCACTTAAAGTCTGCAGCCCGGAGTAGGTTATTTCAGAATTGCCTTCCCGGCTGGGTGTGGTGTTGCATGCTTGTCATCTCAGCACTTTGGGAGGCCAAGGAGGGCAGATTAGGAGGTCAAGAAATCGAGACCATCCTGGCCGACATGGCGAAACACCGTCTCTACTAAAAATACAAAGATTAACTGGGCGTGGTGGCTTGCGCCAGTAGTCCCGGCTACTCAGGAGGCTAAGGCAGGAGAATCGCTTGTATGGAGGTTGCAGTGACCTGAGATAGCGCCATTGCACTGTAGCCTGGGCGACAGAGAGAGACTCAGTCTCAAAAAAAAAAAAAAAAAAAAAGAATTGCTGCCGGGCGCGGTGGCTCAAGCCTGTAATCCCAGCACTTTGGGAGGCCGAGGCGGGTGGATCACGAGGTCAAGAGATCGAGACCATCCTGGTCAACATGGTGAAACCTCGTCTCTACTAAAAATACAAAAAAGTAGCTGGGCATTGTGGCGCGTGCCTGTAATCCCAGCTACTCAGGAGGCTGAGGCAGGAGAATTGCCTGAACCCGGGAGGCGGAGGTTGCGGTGAGCCGAGATCGCGCCATTGCACTCCAGCCTGGGTAACAAGAGCGAAACTCCGTCTCAAAAAAAAAAAAAAAAAGAATTGCCTTCCCTTCTAAGGGCCTCAGGCCGTTTGGCTTAAGCAACAAACATCAAAGCTGTCTCGGTCCTAGAGCTTAGATGTTATTCATGGGCATCATTTATGTAATATATAGTTTATTAAGTTTCAACAATCAAAATTCTACAAAGGTACAAGGGAGGTTGACAAGAATAGAATTTCACATTTTATGGATGTTGAAGTACGTTTTTATGTCTTGGCATTAACCTTTTGAATTGACAACGGATTCTACAGATTGAGTTCTAAGAAAAAAGCAGAATTTGGCCATGAAAATGAGGGGAAATACATAAGGAATGTGATCCCTAGTACTTAAGATCCTGGCCTAAGGTTTTCATGTTTTGTTTTAGAGTTGGGCTGCTGGGGCCTGAGGTTTTTTCCCTTTGGTTTTAGAATTGGGGTCTCACATCATTTAAACCCAGGAGACAGAGGTAGGAGTGAGCCAAGATCGCTCTGCTGCACTCCAGCCTGGGGGATAAAGTGAGACTCGTCTCAAAAAAAAAAAAAAGGGGGGGGGGGTGAGACTCGTTTAAAAAAAAAAAAAAAAGGCCATCGCTTCTCGGCCTTTTGCCTAAGATCAAGTGTAAAAAAAAAAAAAAAAGGCCAGGCACGGTGGTTCACGCCTCCTGTAATCCCAGCACTTTGGGAGGCCAAGGCAGGCGATAGTTTGAAGTCAGGAGTTCGAGACCAGCCTAGCCAACATGGTGAAACCTCACTCTCCATCCCTACTAAAAATATAAAAATTAGCCACTCGTGGTGGCAAGCGCCTGCAATCCCAGCTACTCAGGAGGCTGAGGCAGGAGAATGGCTTAAACCTGGAAGGCAGAGGCTGCAGTGAGCCAAGATTGTGCCACTGCACTCCATCCAGCCTGGGGGACAGAGCAAAACTTTCATCTCAAAAAAATAAATAAAAATAAATAAATAAAAGAAATAGGGTCTTACTATTTTGTCCAAGCTGAGGGAGTCTTTCACATCAGCCTCTGGAGTAGCTGGATCTAGAGGCTTGCAACACTGCACCCAGCTCCCAAACTGCATTTTTCTGAGGGAATATTAAATCATTATGAAGAAAGAGAAAAGAAAATCACTGGGCATGAAAACCGCCTTTAAGTTCTTCTGAGATTGCTGAGAGCATTCAGGTTGGGTTAGAGGAGTGGTTTCCAGGTTGAGAAAAACAAGGAGACATGGGTCCTTGGTAGAAATCTTTGGGAGCTTTTATTTCAATTTGGAGAGAGTGCCAAACAAGAATGGGAGCTCTCAGTCAGGTTCATGGATTTATCTGGAACTCATAGCTTGGTTTTTAGGCTTTAGACTGTCCTTAGCTTGAAGGTTGAGTTTCACCGGGGACCCATCCCTGTCTACCTAGGAATTTATCTGCCTCGTATTGCTGTCACTATGTTGCCCAGGCTGATCTCAAACTCCTGAGCTCAAATGATCCTCCTACCTTGGCCTCCCAAGGTGCTTGGATTACAGGCTTGAGCCTTGTTTATTTTTTAACCATGCCCAGCCTTATTTTTTAAATATATAATATATTCACATGGTTCAAAATTGAAAATGTGCAAAATAGATTAACAGTGAAAAGACTTCCTCTTATCTTTGACCCCCTAGCCTCTTAGTTTTCTTTCCTGACAACTAATATTATCCACTTTCTTGTCTATCTCTGCAGAAGAAGTTTATGGATATATAAACTCATATGCATTACACAAACACACACACACACACACACACACACACACACACACATTTGGTTTTGCACCACTTAGCAATATATATTGGAAATAAATATTTGAAAAGAACACCACATTTCATGATAACTTCATATTATTACACAAAGAGCTTCTTCATTCTTTTATATGGTTACAAAGAAAGTATCTATTTTATCAATTTGTCATAATTTATTTAACATCCTCTCACTCTTTGCTATAAAAATAAGACTATAATAAATTGTGTATATTTTTCCCATTTGCAAGATAAAGTACTAGAGGTGGAATTACTGGGTCATAGGATGATAGGTTAGTTTTTGACGGATGGTATCAACTCTTTGAGGGATGACTTTTGCTCTTCAGGGGTCTTAACTGCTTTCCCCTTCTCAATTACCTGCACAGCCCTCAGCAAACTGTCCTGCAGAGCCTGGTTCTTTACCATGTTAGTAATGAGAAACGTGATGTCCCTGATGTACATCTGTCTCACTTTAGCAGCATAGTGTTCTGCCTTGTTACCATGTGCGATAAAGAAGGTACAAAGTGTTGTGATATCTCCTTCTTGCAGCCCACACTCCTCCAAAATGGACTCCCATACAACTCTAATGCACTTGTTCTTAACTTTTCGTCTGAGGACAGAGGCTAGGGTTGGAAGACCTCTCACCAAATCTGGCAGCTTCTCAAGCACACGAGTATGCAAGAGGATAAGTACTTCAATGACGTAGCTATATACAATATTCAATTCCATTGAAGTGAACCTACAAAAAATACGGAGAGCTTCTTAAGCAGTCAAATATTTTATATAGAAAGAAAAAATAAATTCTTTTAGAATAACTCAATATTAACCCACTAGGACAGGCGTCCCCAAACGTTTTACACAGGGGGCCAGTTCACTGTCCCTCAGACCTTTGGAGGGCCGCCACATACTGTGCTCCTCTCACTGACCACCAATGAAAGAGGTGCCCCTTCCTGAAGTGCAGCGGGGGGCCAGATAAATGGCCTCAGGGAGCCACATGCGGCCCGTGGGCCGTAGTTTGGGGACGCCTGCACTAGGAGAACCATCTGTTGTAATTTGGAAAATATTTACCTTAGAATTCAAATTTAAATACTTACCTTTTTTTTTTAAGAGATAGGGGTCTCACTTTGTTGTCCAGGCTGTTCTCGAACTCCTGAGCTCAAGTGATCCTGTCACCTCAGCTTCCCAGAGTGCCGGGATTAAAGGCATAAGCCATCATGCCCAGCCAATACTTACTTTAGAATTAATGCAAATAGGCTGGGTACAGTGGCTCGCTCCTGTAATCCCAACACTTTGGGAGGCCAAGGTTGGTGGATCACCTTAGGTCATGAGTTCGAGAACAGCCTGGTCAACATAGTGAAATGCCCTGTCCACTAAAAATACAAAAATTAGCTGTGCATGGTGATGCATGCTTGTAATTGCAGCTACTGGGGAGGCTGAGGTAGGAGAATCACTTGAACCGAAGAGGTGGAAATTGCAGTGAGCCAAGATTGCGCCACTGCATTCTAGCCTGGGGAAGAAAGCAAGACTCTGTCTCAAAAAAAATAAAAAATAAAAATAAAGAAAGAAAGAAAGAAAAAGAATTAATGGAAATAAGGCTTTGGGAAGCAAGAGACTGTGAGGAGATATCTGCTACAGTGTCTGGCATATGAAGAGGTGCTCAAACTAATCTTTTTAAAAAAATAAATGAACCTATGAAAATGTAATTGCTTTATAGTCTGCTATTGGAAACATACAAAAAAATTCAATTTTGGAATGACCACTGGAAGCTCTTACAAAGTCACAGAATTCCACTGATTTCTCAACTGATACTCACTTGAGTGCCAGAACTGCTGTCCACATCTCATCTTGAGCTGCTTGGCTTTCCAGGGTCTTCCTATGATGTTCAAATTTCTGCATCAGGTTATCCTTGGTGAAGTCTAGTTCTCTGAACTGTGCTTCTAACACTTGGAGTTTGTGGTCTACTCTGTAGGATAACAGAATCAAAAGCTTAAGTTACAGGACAAAACTAAGGTTTTGCTTTAAGCTAAGGCTCTAATATGTTATTTACAACCACTACCAAATTTGGATAGCCTTTTTTTAACTTTTACTTCAAACTAGGAAGGGAAAATGAGTAGCTATTTGAATTCGAAAGTTTCAACAAATGGTCCGATTTGCTGTTCACTCTAGCCATCATCCTTGTCCTTTCATTCCATATATTACAAACTTTTGAATTGTCTAATTACTTGAATTGCCTGCTATGTCTTGTATTATACCTTATACTTTATGTATGTATGTATTTTCTAATACAGAGTCTCACTCTGTCACCCAAACTGGAGTGCAGTGGCAAAATCACTACCTCCCAGGCTCAAGTGATCCTCCCACCTCAGCCTCCTGAGTAGCTAGGACTACAGTTATGTGCCACCACACTTGGCTAATTTTAAAAAAAATTTTTTTTGTAGAGATCAGATATTACTATGTTTGGCTGGTCTCAAACTCCTGGGCTCCAGCGATCCACCTGACTTGGCCCCCCCAAAGTACTGGGATTACAGGCATGAGGCACCATCCCTGGGCTATTCTTTATACTTTTAAGAATATTTTATGTAAGCATTTCACAACAATCACAAAAATTAAAGCAGTCCTTTTTACTCTTTTACTATTAAAGAAATTGAGTCTCAAGAGGACTGAGACCTAATGTCATAAAGTTAGCTAGTGCTGAGACCAGTATATAATAAGGTGACTTTTTCTACCCCATTCTAATTGTCCAACTCTTATCCTTCTTCCAGGAGCAGCTCAAATCCACTGCCTTTTTGAATCCCCGTTTACCTTGAGATCTCCTTGCCTTCCTAATTCTCCCTCACAAGGACTGCCTCTGTGAACCCATCTCCCCACCTCCTGCTTTACTATTAGGGTTAGCCTTTCATGAACTAAACTCTTAAGTTCTTGGAGGGGAGGAATCAGAGACTATTTATTTATTTATTTATTTTTTCTGAGATGGAGTCTTGCTCTTGTTGCCCAGGCTGGAGTGCAGTGGCACAATCTCAGCTCACTGCAACCTCCACCTCCCAGGTTCAAGCGATTCTCCTGCCTCAGCCTCTCAAGTAGCTGGGATTACAGGCACCCGCCTCCACACTCAGCTAATTTTTGTATTTTTGGTAGTGACCGGGTTTTACCATGTTGGTCAGGCTGGTCTTGAACTCCCAACCTCAGGCAATCTACCTGCCTTGGCCTCACAAAGTGCTGGGGTTACAGGCATGAGCTGCCATGCCCAGTAGAGACTATTTCTTAGATACCTTTATGCTTGTCCCCCAATACCCAGCAAAGGTCTTACATTGTAATAAAAGATTTCTTGTATGATTGACATCTTTGATGTGAATGAGATGCTGAATTCTGTAACCCAAAATGGGGATTTGAGTAGCTCTGAACAGCTGTGATCATCAGAGGGTGCTGTGGCACCAGAATTATGTCTAATTAACCACAAAGACTGCAGCAACACAACTCACTTGCCTAAGCCACCTACGTTGTCTTTATGAGGGCAGTGATGCATAAACATACATGCTAGTTCTCTGAGTTTCCATGTCCCCAGTGACCTGAATACCTTTGCGGTTGCCCAGCATTCTATTCTTGATCATCTTTTATTCTTGGTCCTGAATTTCTCCCAAGGCTAATTCACCTTCAGGTGTTAGGTTTCTTCTAAGCTTTAAACCTGTATTTTCTTTTTTCTTTTCTTTTCCTTTTTTTTTCTTTTAAGACAGAGTTTCACTGTATCTCCCAGGCTGGAGTGCAGTGGTGCAATCTCGGCTCACTGCAACCTCCATCTCCTGGGTTCAAGAAATTATCTTGCCTCAGAGGTCTCCTGAGTAGCTGGGATTACAGGTGCCCACCATCACACATGGCTGATTTTTGTATTTTTAATAGAGATGGGATTTCTCCATGTTGGCCAGGCTTGTCTCAAACTCCTGATCTCAGGTGATCCGCCTGCCTTGGCCTCTCAAAGTGCTGGGAGTATAGGCGTGAGTCACAGCACCAGGCCTAGACCTGTATTTTCAACTATGTTTTGTGCATCTCCAACAAGATGGAGCTACCAAACCTCAACTCTCCTAAGCTTAACCTACTAATACCACCCCCATCTTCAGAAATTACTGTGAAGGAATGTTGTCACTGCTTTACACATAGACAAGACTCACTATAAAATGTTCACTTTGTAGGAATATAAGCCTGTGTGACCTAATATGCCAGCTATTTCTGTCTACAAGTCAAACCCATGTTATTTGGGCTGGGTGCAGTGGCTTACACCTATAATCCTAGCATTTTGGGAGTCTGAGGTGGGTGAATCACTTCAGTCCAGGGGTTTGAGACCAGCTTGGGCAACATAGTGAGACCTCATCTCTACAAAAAATTTAAAAATTAGCCTAGTGTGGTGGTATGTACACTTGTGGTCCCAGCTACTGGGGAGGCTGAGGTAAGAGAATTACTTGAGCCCAGGAGGTCAAGACTGCAGTGAGCTGTGATCATGCCACTGCATTCAGCTTGGGCAACACAGTGAGACCCTGTGTCAAAAAAAAAGTCAGCCAGGCGCAGTGGCTCATGCCTGTAATCCCAGCACTTTGGGAGGCTGAGGTGGGTGGATCACAAGGTCAAGAGATGGAGACCATCCCGGCCAACATGGTGAAACTCTCTGGCTCTACTAAAAATACAAAAATTAGCTAGGCATGGTGGCACATGCCTGTAGTCCCAGCTACTCAGGCAGGAGAATCGCTTGAACCGGGGAGGCATAGGTTACAGTGAGCTGAGATCGTGCCACTGCACTCCAGCCAGCAAGATTCCATCTCAAAAAAAAAAAAAAAAAAAATTATTTGGTATACCATTTGTATTAACTTTCAGACCTTTAAGAGTATATTGCTTATAGGTCATCTGTAGCTTGAACCTCAAGAGATGAACTCTAGCTTGTCGATCAGCATAATATTTTACAATTGCAGCAGCTCTTTGGAATCCTTTCACCGAAGGACAGTCCCTGGCCAGTCCAAATAAATCTAAACCAACATGCAAATCTGAACGCAGCCTGTTTTTTGTTTGTTTGTTTTACTCCTAGTTCCTTAGTTCAATTAATGACCTCACCATCTATCCAGCTGCTTGAACTAGAAATCTCAGAATAATTCTCAACTGCTTTTTCTTCCCCTTTTATGTTTCTCTAACCCATTCCTGCCTCTCCATCTCCACTAAATGAGTTTCTCATCATCTTTCACTAGGACCTGAGATTACAGTAGCCTAACTGGACCCCTGTTTTCAATTTCCAATCCATCCTCCAGACACATTCTTCTAAACCACAATTCTGATCCTGTAACTCAACTGATTATAAATGGTTTATGCCATCCTGACTTGCCCAGTAATATAATTGGAGCCAAATTGGATCTCCTCAGCAGGAAACACAGTGGCCTTTACCCTTTGTTCCTGTTTTCTGCCAGTCCCTCACCCATCCTAGTCATCAATTACATGAGACATGTAGTTGCTACCTGAGTGCATTATGCAATTCCAAGCTTACATATGGCTTATATGCACTGTTTCCTCAGCCTAGAATTCCCTCCCTTATTTTTCTGCCTCATAAGCTCCTACTTGTACTTTAAGATCCAGCTTAAGTTGAGTGCGGTGGCTCAAGCCTGTAATCCCAGCTTTGGGAGGCCAAGGCCAAACCTGAGAGTTTGAGACCAATCTGACTAACATGAAGAAACCCATCTCTACTAAAAATACAAAAATCGGCCAGGTGGTGCATACCTGTAATTCCAGCCACGTGGGAGAATCGATTGAACCTGGGAGGCGGAGGTTGCAGTGAGCCGAGATCACACTATTGCATTCCAGCCTCTGCCACAAGAGCGAGACTCCATCTCAAAAAGAAAAAGATCCAGCTTAAATGATCCTATATGAAGAGTTCCTTTTTCTAGTGTCAAAGGCAAAATTGATTGATCTCCCTTCATGTTCCATAGTCCTATAAGAGCATCACCATTGTAAGGTCAATCACATTCAGTTGTGAATACCTTTGAAACTTTTCTCTTTCCTACAGGTTGTGAGCTCCTTGAGGGCAGAAACCACGTTTTACTTATGTTTGTAAATCTAAGATTTAGCACATGCATACATTGAATGGAGTTACAGCACCTGGAAGCAGACTTTTCTTTATTATTAATTTACATAGATTTGGGCCTGGAAGACTTAAACCACTGTAATAGAGACATAATTCTTTTTTTTTTTCTTTTGAGACGAGTTTCACTCTTGCTGCCAGGCTGGAGTGCAATGGTGCAATTTTGGCTCACTGCAATCTCCACCTCTCGGGTTCAAGTGATTCTCCTGCCTCAGCTTCCCGAGTAGCTGGGATTACAGGCATGCACCACCAAGCCTGGCTAATTTTGTATTTTCAGTAGAGATGGGGTTTCTCCATGTTGGTCAGGCTGGTCTCAAACTCCTGACCTAAGGTGATCTGCCTACCTTGGCCTCCTAAAGTGCTGAGATTACAGGTGTGAGCCACCAAGCCTGGCCTTTTTTTTTTTTTTTTTAGATGGAGTCTTGCTCTGTCACCAGGCTAGAGTGCAGTGGCACGATCTTGGCTCACTGCAACCTTCACCTCCAGGGTTCAAGCGATTCTCCTGCTTCAGCCTCCCAAATAGCTGGAACTACAGACACCCACCACCATGCCCAGCTAATTTTTGTATTTTTAGTAGAGACAGGGTTTTACCATGTTGGCCAGGATGGTCTCGATCTCTTGACCTTGTGATCTGCCCACCTCAGCCTCCCAAAGTGCTAGGATTACAGACGTGAGCCACCGTGCCCAGCCATAGAGACAGAATTCTAATGAGAATTTCTGTAGTTCTTTGTTTATTTCTATTCTTCATTCTTCTCTTACCCATCTTCCCAGAATAGCAGACCCATGCTTGCTCCCTTACTATACCCCTCAGCAACCTTTTCATTGCCTCCTTCAAGGATATCAGGGTTGTGGTTTCATTGTTCATCTTCTTAAGGCAAAAGGAAATAAAACAAAGCAAAAAAAACAACAAATGTTTGAATCCAAATTTTCTGCTGTCTTCCACTCAGCAACAGGCAGCAGAAGTATAAGCATTCAATCTACATTCTGCCTGAAAGGTCACTCAGTACAAGAAGCTTTTAATAGCTTGCACATCCAAATATAGTTTCAGAGAACTGATCCTGTGAACACAGGTGTCCTGGAATGCACTATAACATTTGCCTTTGAAAACTGAACCATAGTACATCAACATAGAGCAACAACCATGTATAATTATGATTCTGTGTATATGCTCGTAAATGTATATACAGATACATTAATGTAACATATACTAAGATTAAATTTGATGGAAATGTTACTCTCATATTTTAACAGCTTCATTATTTAAGTACAACCTAAATTACGTTTAAAGAGTACCCCAGATCTTTTATGATCATGGTGATGGTATCAAAGCAAAAAACCTAACCATGATTAGAAACTACTAAATACTTGTTATGGCTGGGCATGATGGCTCACTCCTGTAATGCCAGCACTTTGGGAAGCCAAGGTGAGAGGATTGCTTGAGCCTAGGAGTTGAAGACCAGCCTGGGCGACAGAGAGAGACTCTGTCTCCACAAAAATTAGCCAGGGGTGGTGGTGTATACCTGTATCCCATCTACTCAAGAGATGGAAGTGGGAGGATTGCTTGAGCCCAGGAGTCTGAGGCTGCAGTGAGCTATGATTATGCCACTGCACTCCAGCCTCTCTCTATAATATATATGTATGTATGGGGCGGGGGGAGAGTGAGCTTTTAGTATTAGATTAGGAATTGAATATAAATATGGAAATAAAATAGGACTTCTGTTTTCTTTAAAAAATTTTTTTTTGAGACAGAGTCTTGCTCTGTCACCCAGGCTGGAGTGCAATGGCATGATCTCTGCTCACTCTATTTTTAGTAGAGATGGGGTTTCACCATGTTAGCCAGGCTGGTCTCCAACTCCTGACCTCATGATCCGCCCACCTCAGCCTCCCAAAGTGCTGGGATTACAGGCGTGAGCCACCGCACCTGGCCTAGGACTTCTGTTTTCATAAGATTTAAAATCTAATTGGGAAGATAGAATATATCCTTAAATAGAAAATGTATATGGGATGTGTGCTAAGTAGATTGAGACCATAAAAATAATAGAAGATCAAAGACTAAGTCACTGAACTCTTGGGTCATTGAAGAAATACTCATATTGAAGATGATACTTGGCTTGGCCTCAAGGTCAAGGTCTTTGATTATCAGAGAAGAGTGTGAAAGGTATTACAAACTGGAGAAATTGTGTGAGCAAAATCACAGAGGTGGCAAAGTAAATGACGTGTTCTGGAAACAATGTGTGGGTATGTTTTGAGCAAAAGATTCATATAAGAAAAAGAAAACAACCACAACATTTAAGCTGTAAGAGCCATGTCATGTATTTGTTCATTCACTGAATAATTTATTCACTTATTCAATACTTACTGAACCTCACAAATATTAACTGAATGGATAAAATCTACGAATGAATGAGCAGCACTATTCCAGGCACTGGCAATATAGTGATAAGTAAGGTGAAATCCTTGTCCTCAAGGAGCCTACTAGCAGGGACACAGCACACAAGAGTTACAAGAAAGGAGATGCATCTAGCTAGACCGGTAGGTGTTTTGACAGATGTTAACTGTTGGTTCTAGAAGAATAATCTAGGGCCAGGTGCAGTGGCTCACACCTGTAATTCCAGCACTTTGGGAGGCTGAGTCGGGCAGATCACTTGAGGTCAGGAATTCGAGACCAGTCTGGCCAACATGGCGAAACTCCATCTCTACTAAAAATATAAAAATTAGCCAGGCATGGTGGCATATACCTGTAGTCCCAGCTACTTGGGAGGCTGAGGTAGAATGGCTTGAACCCAGGAGGCTGAGGTTGTAGTGAGTTTAGATTGTGACTGTACCACTGCACTTCAGCCTGGGTGACACAGCGAGACTCCACCTCAAAAAAAAAAAAAAAAAAAAAAAAAAATTAGCAGTGATATTGTAGCATAATGTGAAATATATTCGATCTTTTCCCCATTTCAGTCAAAAAGCTCCTAAAACCCATGGGATTTCCTGATAAGAGGGTCTTTTGTTATTCATAATGAGCCTCTTTGGATCACAGGAGAGTTTATGCTAATGAGGTGATTTAGGGTGGTGCAACTAGAATAGCTTCCAGATGGGCTGGTCACTATAGGCTGAAACTGTCAGCTCCACCCACTAACTTCTAGGAAATGGAATGAGTGAGCTGGAGATTATGTTCAGTAAAATCTCAGGCAAGGCACAGTGGCTCACACCTGTAATCCCAGCACTTTGAGAGGCCAAGACGGGCAGATCACAAGGTCAGGAGATCGAGACCATCTTGGCTAACATGGTGAAACCCTGTCTCTACTAAAAATACAAAAAATTAGCCAGGCGTGGTGGTGGGTGCCTGTAGTCCCAGCTACTCAAGAGGCTTCGGCAGGAGAATTGCTTGAACCAGGGAGGTGGAAGTTGCAGTGAGCTGAAATCAAGCCCATGCACTCCAGCCTGGGCAACAGAGTGACACTCTGCCTCAAAACAAAACAAAGCAAAACAAAACAAAACAAAACAAAAAACTCTTGGACAGTGAGGTTTAATGAGCTTCTGGGTTGCTGAATACAAGGAAGTGCTGGTGGGGTGGTGCCACAGAGAGGGTGTGGAAGCTCCACAGCGCCCCACCTCCCCTTGCCCCTACCCCGGCATACCTTCCCCTATGCATCTCTAAAACTGGCTGTTCATCTGTATTCTTTCTTTTTTGAGATGGTTGAGATGGACTCTCTCACTCTTGTTGCCCAGACTGGAGTGCAGTGGGGTGATCTGGGCTCACTGAAACCTCTGCCTCCAGGTTACAAGCAGTCCTTCTGCCTCAGCGCGCCCCCGCTCCCCGTAGCTAGGATTACAGGTGCACACCACCACTATTACAGGAGTTATTAAAAACTTATTTTAGGCAGCTAGAAAGGGTAAAAGAGTCCTCAGTAATGCTTTTTCTTTTTATAAAAAGCAGTTGCCTCAAACATTTCTTTTCTAATTGAAAGTGGCCTGAAAAACCAGACCTGCAAGTATTGTGTGGCTTGCATATGAAAATGCTGGTGGCTAAGAGCCAGGTTCACCTAATATGGCAGTTCCTGCTACTTTTTCTTTGTTGTCATGTATACAGATATCATAGCAGCCAGGTAGAAGCCACGTGTACAGGTATCATGACGACCAGCCAAGTAGCCACATATGGATATTAAAGGTTAGGGTGGGAGGGCCAGTGTGTGTGTGTATGTGTGTGTGTGTGTGTGTGTGTGTGTGTGACAAGAGTCTTGCCCTGTCACCCAGGCTGGAGTGCAATGGCACGATCTCAGCTCCCTGCAACCTCTGTCTCCCAGGTTCAAGCAATTCTCCTGCCTCAACCTCTTGAGTAGCTGGGATTACAGGTGTGCACCACCACGCCTGGCTAATTTTTGTATTTTTCATAGAGACAGGGTTTCACCATGTTGGTCAGGCTGGTCTCGAACTCCTGACCTCATGATCTGCCCACCTCGGCCTCCCAAAATGCTGCGATTACAGGTATGAACCACCATGCCCAGCCATGGAGGGCCAGTTTTTTTTTTGTGGGCTACATGAATGACATGTCTGGTCAAACCAATCCCCTCGCCCCTATGCAAATAAGACATCGCCTTCTCAAGCCTGCCAATATAACTGATTGCTTTCTGCTAAAGGAGTTTTTTCCATTAGGTGCCCTCCTCCTTCTGTACAAGGAAGCTGTTCTCTTCCTTCTTGCCAATTAGAGTTTCCACTCCTTAATCCACGCCACCTGTGTCTGTGTTGCTAGTTTTTTCAATACAAGACAAAGGACCCTGGGTGTTTCCCCAGACAATGAAGCCATATCACCATGCTCAGCTAGTTTTTGGATTTTTAGTAGAAATGGGGTTTCACCGTGTTAGCCAGGTTGGTCTCAAACTCCTGAACTCAAGTGATCCACCTGCCTTAGCCTCCCAAAGTGCTGGAGGCAAAGGACCCTGGCACAAGACAAAGGACACTGGGTGTTTTCCTAGACAATGGAGCCATATCATTTTTGGGGGCTCATCCGGAATCCCAAGGTACGACATTCAATGGAGCAGTGAGTACAGCAGCAGTCTCAAAATCTATCCTTTCGTTCCAAGGCTTTTGCCCTCCATTTAAAAATCAAATCAAATCAATAACAAGCATCCATCAGCCAGTTACAGACATAGTTAGTGTGGCTTTCATTCTTAAAGACTTGGATGTCAGGCTTACTGGGGAGACTATGGAGAATCCCCCAATATCCATGGGTAACTGGGCACGTTGGTCACAACCAGCTTCCTTTCATGAGGAAATCTAACCATCCATGAGGCCAGGAAAAGTTCTGAAGCAATTGAGAATTTCTGGCCAGTGCACCCCCTTGTGTTATTCAAAGGCTTCAAGACTGGACTCAGCCTCCGACAGCTCGCCCAGGTGTTGGTAAAGGATTCCCAGCTAGCCTGTCACAAAATTTCCCTTCTGTCTCTATCTGCAGTCACTATGTCTCTTATTCTCTCTGTGTGTCAAATGTGAGGGAATTTTTACACCCCAGGGAAGTAATTCGGTTAGGCAAGATCAGGAAATGCTGTAGTAACCGTGCATATAGCTCAGGAAACTGCACTTGGAATCTTCTAGGAACCTCTAGAGGGTCTCCCCTTTCCCCCACAGTGAGGTCACTCACTACTAGTCTGCTAGCAAGCACATGGTATTTCTAAGCCAACAGCGCCACCTCGTGGAAAAAGAAATCCTCTAGCCACGTTGTTCATTGTTGGTCCACTGTAGCTTCCTAAATTTTCCTTTTTGCACTTTTTTTTTTTTTTTTTTTTTCTGAGACAAAGTCTCACTCTGTCACCCAGGCTAGAGTGCAGTGGCACAATCTCAGCTCACTGCAGCCTCCGCCTCCAGGGTTCAAATAATTTTCCTGCCTCAGCATCCCAAGTAGCTGGGATTACAGGCACCCACCACCACACCCAGCCAATTTTTATATTTTTAGTAGAGATGGGGTTTCACCATGTTGGCCAGGATGGTCTTGATCTCCTGAC